TTGAAAAGGATAAGGGATCCTCTTTTCTAGTAGTGGTGAATTAGGGTTGAAAAGAACCAATAAGGGGTTTGTGTATAATAGATCAATTGATGTCTCTAGATCAGTGATTTTCAACCTTTTTCATCTCATGGCACATAAACTCACTACTAAAATTCTGTGGCACACCAAAAAATGTGGGGTTTTGGGTTTTTTTTTTTGCTAACCTGACAAAAAAATATAGGTATAATTTTGATTCATTCACACTGGGTGGATATTATTGTGTTGACTATTACCATTTTTTTTTTATTTGACAGTCTAAGGGAAAAGAGGTCAGTGGCCTTGATTAAATAGTGAGGCATTGCACATTTTAAAAATTTTTGAGGCACGCAGGCTGAAAATCACTAAGACAGATAGACAGACTGATAGACAGATACACAGATTTACATAAGAGAGATTTTAAGGAATTGGCTCTCTCAGTTATGGAGCATGGCAAAGCCAAAATCTGCAGGGAGAGCTGGCAGGTTAGAAAACCAGGGAAGAGCTGATGATACTGTCAACTCTTAAGGTGCTATGCTGACAGAATTATTTCTTGCTCTTGCAGTGGGGTGGGTATGGGGGAGGGGGTATTTTGTTCGTTAAAGAGGTCAGTCTTTTCTTCTATTCAGGCCTTCTACTGACTGGATGAGGTCCGCCTACATTATAGAGGGCGGTCTCCTTTACTCAAACACGATGGATTTAAATGTTAATCTCATCTAAAAACTCTCTCACAAAAATATTCAGAATAGTGTTTGACCAACTATAAGGGTACCATGGCCCAGACAAGTTGACACATAAAAGTAAACTTCACAAATGGAATATGTATTCCACTAAGATATCAAAAAGGGTTGTGTAGCACAATAGTTATGTGTTGGGATAGCTGCTAGTGAGGAAAGACGCCATTAGTATATTAAAATTTTCTAAACAGGAACCTATAATTGATTTTACTGAGGTTTTTCATGACCTACTTTTTAATATTCAGTGCAATAAAACCCAAAAACAAGGCCCCAAAAGGCAGATAAATTTTTTCTTTTTTTTTATTTTAAGAGACGTATGGATTCAAAGTCTAGGTTTTAGCACACCGTGTTCTACTGATTTGGCCAAAAGGTCCATTTTGTTTTTCCATAAAATAAAAGGCACATTTTTCATTTCCACTAATAACTTTACTGATCTGGATGTTTTGAGTATGTCGGCTATCTTACACTATTGGCTTCTAGTGGGTAGAGGCCAGGGGTGCTGATAAACAGCTTCCAATGCATAACACAGCCCCAGAGCAAAGCATTATTTGTCCAAAATATCAATAGTACCAAGAAACTTCACAAACCACTTGTGACACATTGGATCCGTCACGGCACCTTCTCCATACACTGCACAAATCTTTTTTGCATTTCAGTTGCATTTTTACCTTTCTTGAAATAATAAAGCATAATACACCAAAAATGTTGCATATTTTCTTCCATCTTCAAAATTAAAATGGCTGCACAAAAATGCACCAATTTTGTTTTTTTTTAAATGCATGCTGATATGACAGCTGTCACAATACAGTCTAACAAAATTGTTTTGAATGAAGTTAAAGACAACTAAGTATTACTGGAGCCATCATATGGAAAAAACTAAATGAACTTTTTGGCCAATCCCATAGTATCTTATATTCAGTTAAGAAGATATATTTCTGTCTTGACACACATTTCTTAATGTCTTTTTAATATGCTTCTAAAAAGTGTTTCCTAATTTGGAACCTTCTCCATTTCCTATTGTTCCCGTACTTTGCTTCAAGCAAAGAATAATCTTTTACTCTGTCTTTTGTCTTTAATGTTATGAATATTTTTCCTATTTCAACAATTTGCAGATGGTCATTAATATTCACATACATTAATAACTCAAAAACGAAAACTATGGTAATAAGTAGTAATAAAAAATAAAACAATTTTGCTTTTATTTATTAACTCAGTGTAAAATATATTCCTATATGACATCTCTTCTAGTTTTAAAATAACAGCTAAACTACAGATTTGTGTGAACTAAGATTTATACAAAAACAAATCTCCAAAAGGAGAAAAATTTAATTACCAACTTTTCTGGCTAGTATTTTTTCTTTCCCATAAGTGAAAAGTTACAAACTTTTAAAATGGTCTTTAACTCCAAGTAGTTAAAACAATTTTAATTTATAAAGTAATTTATATTCATCTTTCACAAAATCTTGAAATACCAAAATTCACATGGCACTACAATTCACTAAGAGGAATCTATATAAAGCTACATTAAAATAAAATTAAAAAATCATAAGCAATCAAGTTCACATTTTCCAGGTTAAATAATATACACAAACTAACAAAAGATGAATATCTAAGTTATAGCTATAGACATGACCTTATAATTGTAAACAATTTTCTGGTAGAAAAAATAATGCTCTACTAACTGTAGTTTTGAAGCTATGGGGGCTACATATTACTACATTAAGAAATTTTCTATGTTGTTTATCAGACCACTTAACAGTCACTATTCATTCTAAAATATCTAATTCATGTTATTAATTTTTAGGTAACTTTTAGGTTATTTTTAGGTATTAATTCTCATTAGGTAAATATTTGTCCCTGAATAGCACAAAGAAAGATAAATTACACTGAATCTCACTAATATATTAAGTGACTTTTGACTGCAAGACTGTTATACTTTCCATTCTTAAAAAAAAGTTCCTCAAGTATGAATGCTCCAAATATTTTATTATAAATAAACTTTAATCCAAATGATGGATATTTACTTTTTAAAATATTAATTGATTAAGCTAAGGACTTATGGTTTAAAGATACCTACGCCTGATTTTTTATAAATCATTATTTAATTAAGACTATTTTCTTAACACAAAAAGGGACTTTGATGTTATATTAAGAGGTCTTATATTGAATTGGTAAAGCATTAGAAGGGCTGCCATTAATATCAGAAACTAAAATAAGATACTATTCATATCTTTTTTATTTATTATTGTGCCAGAAGTTCAAGCCTTCACAGTGTAAGTCAACTATAGTCATGAGGGGAAAAAGGAAAGAGAAATATCACTTTGTGTGTGGTATGGTTTCAAAACCTAAGAGAACAAACTAATATTTTATTTTGACTAATAAGTGAGTTCACAGAGTAGTTAGATAAAAATTAAAATATAAAAAATCAATATAGCTCTCCAAGTTGATCTCCAAAAATAACCACTTAAAAGTAATAATGGAAAAAATCCATTTGTGACCACCAAAAAAGGTCAAATATATAAGGATACTTTAAATAAGATACGTATGGAAAGTATATGAACCAAACCACACAATCTTACTGAGACATAAAAGCCAAATAAAAGAAACTAAAATACATGTTCTTAGATTGATGGACAAAATATTGAGAAGTTTTTGGTTCTTTCCAAATTAATTTACAGCTTATCACAATTCCAACAGGGTTTTTCAGCAATATGACAAGTTATTTCTAAATTTTCTCTGATATAACAAACCTGTGAAAATAAGAATTTTTGAAAGATAGATTTATAAAGAGAAACTTACTGCATAAAGCTACCATAATTAAACAGCATGGCTACAACACAGTAATAAGACTGAATGGAATAGAACAAAACCTTAAACTCATCCCATTATATTAAGCAGTTATCATATGATAAAATGAGCATTATCAACCAAAAAGAATAGATGGGATGATACATGGTGCTGGGAAATTGTATAGGAAAAAATATAAGTACATCCTTATATTATGTATCAATAAATTACTGAACATAATAAAATCAAATAACAAGGATAGACATTATTTTACATAAAAGCTTCTACGAGAAAAAACTTACTTACATTTTATTTTTTCCCCAAATGTCTCATTTACAGATTCCAAAGTCTACCTAATGGTGAAACTTTAATGTTTCTTTTATAATGCAAAATGAGTATTTGGGAAATCTGAATTTTAAGAGGTAAAAGTGGAAGCATTAGACCATGTTAAAAAAGCTTTCTAGAGGAAACACAATGGTCATGGACTATCAAGTACAACAGAATATAAAGAGACATGTGATATTGCCTATACCTTGAATATCAGGTTCAAACATCTATTAATCACATCAAAGACACTGAAAACAGGTTAATTTACCCAATCTACTTATTATTTATGCCATTTTCCTTTAAATATCAAATTATACCTTTCTGTTGAAAATATATAATTTTTATTCAGATACTATATTAATTCATTTCCAATTTGTTATTCCAATTAAAAGTCCAATTTGCATGCCTCATATTCTTTGACATACTCAGGACACTGGGTTATGCTTATTTGCTTAGGAAACCAGTTAATATCAGTCAAGTATATGGTCACAAATGACCCACAGCTAGCTATTGAGGCAGTTACATGGAACCCTGCTGAAAAAGAATCTTAGAAAGACACACCAACACAAACCAGTCACTTCTCCCTCAACAATAACTTAAAGTGTATTATTTAGTGACAGTAAGTCAGTTTTGGTACAATAAATGTTGGTGGTGATAGATTTTTTTTTTAATCTTCACCCAAGGATATGTTTTATTGATTTCAAAGAGAGAGGGAGAGAGAAACATCAATTAATGTGAGAGAGAAAGATAGATGGTTGTCTCCCTTAATTCACTCTGACCGGGACTGAACCCACAACCCCTTGGTGTATGGGACGATGCTCCAACCAACTGAGCCACACAGCTAGGGCAGAGGATGGTAGATATTTGGCATATAGCATCAATTCAAATCACATTTCTCTTATTTATTTTACTCTCTGTTAGGAGCATAAGTTTGTTTGTTTTTTTAATTTAGCAAACTTAAAAGCAGAAACAGTAATATTTATGAGCTAACGTTAGAAAACCCAGATCATCTGCCAATGCTTCAATCACAACTGCAAATACCAATGGAGGCTTATTTCCTTCTGAAGAATGCACGTGAGAACTTTTTTTGGGGTGGGGAGGCTCTTACGAAGTATAGTGCTTAAAAGCATGTCAGTGCTCACTTGGGCAGCACATATACTAAAACTGGAATGATACTGAGAAGATTAGCATGGCCCCTGCACAAGGATGACACGCAAATTTGTGAACTGTTTCATATATACATTTTTTTTAAAAAGCGTAGCAGAGGGCAAACAGCACTCAGTATGACAATCATATTCTTGCTTCTGTTATTAATCTTGTGGACTGTGAGAGATTTACAGATGGTCTTTCTCACTCTTCCAATCAGATTCAAGCATTTCCATGATCCCTTTTCTACAAACTCCTGGTATGAATATATTTGGATATACACTCTTTCTTCTGATTTTCACTTAGAACACAGAATATATACTGCTTTTACTTAGAATCTAACCCTAGAACGGTTCATTATTTTACATGTCCTCTCCTATACTGAACACCCAATTGTATTTTATTGATGATGATAATGATTTTGTTTGTAAGCTGCATTTTCCATCATATTATACTGGCTGGCCCAACTCTTAAACTTACTTTGATCAGCCACTGTCTACACTAGAAGAAACTAAGCATTTATAAATAATTTACAAAATTTAAAAAATGAGATTCTATATGTAATCAGTATTTAAAAACTGTTGTATTTTAACACTTAGGTATTTTTTAAAACACTGTCATTATTTAAAACTGAGATAGTTTACTTTTTTTGGTACTTCGTCTTTGAAATCTAGTATGTACAGGATCAGGCAGAAGTAACGCCATTGAACGTGGATGATAGGGTACATGAAGTCTAACATGAGATGGACAGCAATTTGAACATTAAAATGTCATACGGTGTGCTTGAGTATGATATTGTTATGTTATAGAATTACATTATGATTTTGTAATAAAATATTTTTATGTAATAAAAAAGGGATAGTATTTGTGCCAGACCCTGCATTTTTATGCTTAAAGTGTACCTAAATTCAGACCAGCTTCATTTCATATGCTTATAGCCAGGTCAGAGAATGAATGCTGTACTGGACAGCATAAGTTTAGCACACTCCTCTACAACAAGGGTCTCCAGCACCTGGGCCACAGATTAAGTATGGGTGTGCGGCCTGTTAGGAACCAGGCCGCCCAGCAGGAGGTGAGCGGCAGGCAGCGAAGCGTTGTCTGTATTCACAGCTGCTCCTCATCACTCCCATTACCCCCTGAGCTCCACTTCCTTTCAGATCAGCAGTGGCATTAGATTATTACAGGAGCACAAACCCTACTGTGAACTGCACATGGGAGGGATCTAGATTGCATGCTCCTTGTGAGAATCTAACACCTGTTGATTTGAAGTGGAGTTAAGGTGGTGATGCTAGCCCTGGGGAACAGCTGCAAAACGATTATCATTAGCAGAGAGATTTGGCTGCCCAGAGACCATAATAAGTCTATTGCTTGCAAACTCATATCAAAACCCTATCAGTGGGTAGCAAGTGACAATTAAGCTGCATCTGGTGGCAGGCTTTATAGTGGCATGTGAGTTGATGTACTTCCTCATCAACTCACTTTATTTTTTCCCCAAATTGTTGTATAGCTGCATCTGGTGGCTTTAAGTCAGAACCTGACACTTATTTTAGTCCATGCATGGCCCACCCATTATTTTATTTACCACCTCCGTCCACTCTTTCCTGCACCGTGCACTTGTCTCAGTCACAGTTTTGGTAAGCTCACATGCTAATCCTAGCCAAAATGGGAAAAAACAAATGTCATTGGAGAGCTTCTTTGGGAAGGACCCAATGATGACACAGCAGAAGACTCTAAGAGTGCCAAAAAAACCAAAGCTATATTTAAAAGAAAGTATCAAGAGTCCTACTTAAATTACGGGTTCATTACAACAGGTGATTCACATTCCCCAAGCCCACTTTGTATCATATGTGGTGACCAGCTATCCAAAGAAGCCATGAAACCTTACTTCTTCGTCAAATGAACCCCAAGCACCCTGCATTAAAAGACAAGCTTTTGGAGTTTTTCAAAAGAAAAAGAAAATATGAATATGAAGAACAGAAGCAATTGAAGGCCACCACTTCATCAAATGTGTCTGTACTGAAAGGCTCATTCTTAGTGGCTCACCGCATTGCTGAAGCTAAGAAGCCCTTTACTATTGATGAAGAGTAGATCCTGCCTGCTGCTAAGGACATCTGTCATGAACTTTTAGGAGAGGCTGCAGTCCAAAAGATGGCACATGTTCCTCTTTCGGCTAGCACCAAACTATATGAATCGATGAACTAGCAGAAGATATTGAGGTACAATTGTTAGAGAGGATTAATAAGTCATCATGGTATGCAATCCAGGTTGATGAGTCTACCAGTGTTGACAACAAGGCAACAATGCTTGTTTTTGTGCGATATATTTTTCAGGAGGATGTACATGAGGATATGTTATGCGCACTTCTGTTGCCAACCAATACCACAACTGCAGAACTATTCAAGATCTTTGAATGATTACATATCAAGATAACTGAACTGGTCATTTGTATGAGTATATGCGCGGATGGAGCAGCTGCCATGATTGGACAGCTTTGTGGTTTCACTACTCTGGTCAAAGAGGTCACTTCTGAACATGAGTCTACGTACTGTGTCATCCATAAAGGAATGTTGGCTAGACAAAAAATGTCACCTGAACTTAACAACGTTTTCAGGATGTGATTAAAATTATCAACATTAAAGTACATGCCCTTGACTCAATGTCTGTTCACACGGCTCTGTGAGATGAATGCAGCGAACAGATGTCTGCTCTTATACACAAAAGGGGGATGGCTTTCTAAAGGTAGATCACTGGCCAGAGTTTCTGAGTTTTGAAAGCCGCTCCAGAGATTTCTTTTAGAAAAAAACCAGTTACCACTGGCAGCACACATCAATGACACAGAATGGGTTGCAAAACTTGCTTACTTGTGTGACATATTCAGCCTGCTCAATGAACTCAGTCAGTCACTTGCAGGGGAGAACTATGACTGTGTTCAAGTTAGCAGATAAAGTGGCTGCATTCAAAGCCGAACTGTAATTATAGGGGGATGAGTAAACATTGGGATTTTTGACATGTTTCAAACATTAGCAGAGATTTTGAAAGAGGCTGAGCCAGGGCCATCTTTCTCCCAGCTGGTGCATGATCGCCTCTCTGTGCTTTCAAAAGAGTTTGAGCATTACTTCTCAACCACAAAAGACCCCCAAGCTGGAAATGAATGGATCTGTGACCAAGTCATGAATAAGCCACGTGAGTCGACTTTGTGATAGAAGAGATCAACTGCTTGAGATCACAAATGACATGGCCTTAAAAGTATGTTTGAGACAACTTAAATCTCCACTCTCGATTAAAGTCAAGGTGGAATATCCTGAGATTGCCACAAAAGCACTGAAAAGCCTGCTTCCATTTCCAACATCCTATCTTTGTGAAGCAGAGTTTTCTGCAGTGACATCAAGCAAAAAGAGATTAAGCAGTAGACTGGACATGACCAAAACACTTCGAGTGTCACTGTCTCCTATCACCCCTGGATGGGACAATCTAGTTGCAGGAGAACAAGATCAGGGTTCTCAATGATTCTGCATTATGAAGAATTATATAATTATTTCATTATATATTACAATAATAGAAATAAAGTGAACAAAACACAAACAGTAGATTCCTGGAAGTCTCTTAATGATTGCCTAAGGTCAGACAGGGTCAATATCTGACATCATCAGAGGCAGATCCAGAAAGGAAAAACAGCGGCCTCCTACCATAGAAGTTCACACCACAAAGTCAGGGAATCAAGACAGATAAATTTAAGAAGCTGAAGCAAAAAGAAAAGTCTCACAATAGGAAGACAATGAAACAACTCCCTGTCAAAGGGAATAGAAGAATCCCTGGAAAGAGAACTAAATGAAATAGAGGCAAGTAAACTATCAAATACTGACTTCAAAGCGATGGTTCTAAGGAAGCTCAATGAGCTCAGTGAGCTCAGAGAGAATTTCCAAAAACTACCGGGAAACTATGAGGAATTTACTGCAAACTATATCACCATGAAAAAGGACATAGAAACTATCAATAAAAGGGGAAATGAAGAATACAATTTCTGAATTAAAGAACACAGTACGAGGAATCAAAAGAAGGCTAGATGAAGCCGAAGAATGAATCAACAAGCAGGAGGATAGGGGAGAAAAACAGTCCCAGAAAGAGCAAGAAAATGAAAAAAGACTCAAAAAGAATGAAGAGGCGTTGAAGGAAATGCAGGACAACCTGAAACGTAGTAATATCCATTCAATAGGGATACCAGAAAGGAGGAGAAGAGGAGCAAGGGACAGAGAACCTGTTTGAAAAACCCGTTTGAAAAAGTAATGAAGGAAAACTTCCCTAATTGGAAGAGAGAAAAAGTCACAGAAGTCCAGGAAACACAGAGGGTTCCATTCAAGAGGAACCCAGTGAGGCCTGCTTGAAGACATTATAACTAAAATGGCAAATATCAAATACAAACAGAGAATCCTAAAGGAAGCAAGGGAGAAACAGGTAGTAACATACAAGGGAGCACCAATAGAGCTAGCAGCTGACTTCTCAACAGAAATACTACAAGCCAGAAGGGAATGGCAAGAAATATTCCAAGTAATGAAAAGCAAAGGCCTGCAACCAACGCTGCTCTACCCAGCAAGGCTCTCAATTAAAATGCAAGGCAAAATAAGGAGTTTCCCAGACAAAAGAAGGCTAAATGAATATACCTCTATAGACGAAACCAGCAATGGAAGATATGCTAAAGGGACTGCTTAAAGGAGTTGGAGATAAAGAGTCTGTGAATACCCAGTTCCTTTCACGGTCACCAATACTTGATATTACCAATACTTTTAATACTTATTAATCTGATTGTGACACTGATGTGTTCTTTTAATTGTTACTTTATTATTTTTTTAAACTAAACTTGTTTTTGTATATTTCTTGCCCATTTCTATTATTTTTAAAAAGCTTCAAATGACTTTTTGGCATTCTTTATCCATTTATCAATTAAAGGTTTGTAGAATTTTTTCTTTAAAAAAATTATTAACCCTTTTTTAGATGTGTTGCAAATACTTTCATATTCTAGTACTTGTCCTTTAACACTTTTTAATATGTATATTACTATATAGTCTTAAATGTTTAATATAGTCATATTGTCAATATT